CTGAAATATCTTGTTTTATGGAGACTGCCTCCAAAAGGTGCAGCTGTGTGCTGGTTTCGTCTTGCACTTTGTAGCGGTGTTGGCAGTGTTACATGTGAGGAATGCCACCGTCTCCCACACACCACCGGGGCCCGAGGACTGTTCGGGCCTGTCCGTGTTCATGGTTTGGGAAGGGTCTGAGTTTGGAGAGAAGGCTCTCTCCTCTTCCATGTGGTTGGTCGTCACCAGGGTTAGGGTTGAGAAATAGAACTAATGGAAAACACAGCATCTGATGTGTCATCAGAAATTTTTTCTGCAACTAGGGACACCTAATTCATTGGTGTTCCTATCGGTGTTGAAGACTGGTTCCTCTTTTGAAACAATACATGTCTTGGCTTCCCCACTTCTAGACCCTTCTGCTGTTCTTTCTTGTCTTCTTTCTCCTTAAGTAATACTAATTTCTTTTTTTTTTTTTTTTTAGATTTTATTTATTTATTTATTTGACAGATCACAAGCAGGCAGAGAGGCAGGCAGAGAGAGACAGGAGGAGGCAGGCTCCCTGCCGAGCAGAGAGCCCGATGCGGGGCTCAATCCCAGGACTCCGAGATCATGACCTGAGCCGAAGGCAGCGGCTTAACCCACTGAGCCACCCAGGCGCTCCAGTAATACTAATTTCTATTGATGAAACCTGATCCCACTAAGAAAAACACTGGTCTTGGACAGGGGCGCCTGAGTGGCTCATTTGGGTAAGCATCCGACTCTTGATCTCAGCTCAGGTCATGATCTCAGGGTGGTGGGACCAGGCCTTGGGTGGAGCCCTGTGTTGGACCCCGCACTCAGTGGGGAGTCTGCTTCTCTCCTCCCTCTCCTTGTGTCCCTTCTCTCTCCTCCTCCTCCTCTCTCTCTAAAATAAATAAATCTTTTTAAAAAAATGACAGAAACGGGTGTTGGACTATAATAGGCGAATCTGTGTATTCATCCGGATTCTCAAGAGCGGACTTGGCTCTCCAGATGTACACACTGGCTACAGCAGGCTTCAAAGCCAAAAAGCTCTTCTCGTTCAGGTACCAAAAATTTGTCTGGAAGACGAAACCCAGTAAGAATGTATATATAAACTTCATGATGAACATGGTGTGTCATTTTGTGTTTTGTACGATAGCCACCATATATGATCTGTATATCCTGTATTTTTTTTTTATTCCACTGTCTTAGTTTATTGACGTGTATGATGGGGGTGCTTTATCATGAACCTTTCAAAGAACAACTTGCCAAATTTGGTAGTGCCTAACAATTGTAATTTGCTGTTGGAATTTCTTAAAATGGGATGTAATGGAAAAGGAAATATTAGCCTTCTGTACTTAATAAAATTAGAGGAATAGTTGATTTTAGGATTGTTGAAATAATTAATATTTTGCTTTAGAATAGTTTTTAGATTTTGGTTTCAGTGGATCCTGTTGCCTAAAGTAGAAAATGCGAACTTTAAAGACTTCTTGGGTAGGACTTCATGGTCCCTATGTTTAAATATTTGAAAGGGGAAATGGATTGAATCACAGATTTTGTACTAGAGAATAGGAAATCCCTGAATGGTTATTTAAAAAACAAGGTCTTTCCTTTAAAAATTTCTCCTTTAAAAAACTCCCGTTGCAAAACCTTAATCAGCTGTAATGATTCAGACATTTGAGTAATACAGCTTTTATCAGTATTAAAAACTCAGTGGGAAATCACAGACCTATCACAAGAAGTGTACCTGTACCCTCTCTGTGTACCTCTAGCTTGCTTCTCTGTATTCTGGCGTGCTCCGGGAAAAGTCCCAGTGTTGTTGTAGGTACGATGGTTAGCACGGTGCTTTTCCAACACTCCATGTAAGTTTATTTTTTCCTTTTTTTTTTTTTTTTTTTTTAGAGGGGGGGGGGGGGGGGGCTGCCCGGGGCTGGGGGGAGAGAATGAATCTCAAGTACACTCCATGCCCAGTGCAGAGCCTGAGGTGTGGGGCTTGATCTCATAACCCTGAGATCATGAGTTGGACACTTAACCAACTGAGCCACCCAGGTGCCCCTTGAGTTCTTGAGTGAAATACATGATATTTTGTAGCTTGGGATACTGAAGGTAAACTACCATTTTTTTGCCACAAAAACATTTTAGAGGACTGGGAAAGGAGGTTTTCCTTTTTTCCTTTTTTCTTCTTCAAGCCAAAGGGAACAAATAGAGAGGTGGAAACCCCTTTTCTATGTAGTATTTGCCAGCCCAGTCATAAAACAACTGCTGGGTGCATATTTCAATCGCAATTAGGTGAAATCTTTAATTATCAGTTAATTTAACTTTCACATTCGCCTGCAGAAATGATGGTGTTGATAAGATTCTGGAAGGAGATAAACCTTTATTAAGTAATTCCACTTTTAGTTGCCAACTTTAAAGATTTTTTTTTTTTAAACTAAAAAAAAAAAAAAAAGGCCTGCGTAGTTTCTGAGGGCGGGAACAGAGGAACGGGGCATATTAGTTGGACGAGCGTTGAGTGGCCCTGTGGGTGTGTATATTTATTGGTTAATCTTTAGCTTTTTGTGTCTTGGCGTGTGCTAAGTTAAGACCCGTAAGTTTGAGAAGGCTGAGGAGAGACATTACAGTGAATTCTGACTAATATTTCTCCACCCCATTTCTCGACCCTTGTTTTCCTCTGTTACATCTGCTGATGGGACGATACATGCCAGTTTGTTCAGTGTAGAAGGCATTTATGGGGGAGGACAATTTTTGTGAGCTGATAATCTTCTAAGGCAAAAGGTTTATCGGGGGAAATGAAATAATATGCTCTTTCATTTTGCAGTTGATCCTTATATTACAATGCTTTTAATGAAAAAGACTACATGAAACTTGGAAGATGTTTTTATTTTCAGTGCTTTTCAGATACACTTCACATTATGACATTTAGAGATTTGGGGGATGACATTACTGGTTCTTTTTTGGGGGGGTTACCCACCCGAATTTGCTTATCACAATAGCATGTCCTAAAATGCACTGCCAACCCAAAATCGATGACTAGCTCCATTCCTGGATTTTCTGATTCCAGGGGTTGGTGGTCGTACCTGGGGCTCTGTGTTCCTAGCAAGCTGTCCAGGTGCTCCATAGACTTGGGCAGGTATGGGGAGTCCAGGGGAGATGGAGTTACCACTCAGCTGTCAGCATCATGGCTGTCTGGAAGGTCTGGCATTTCTGTCCCTCCCTTATGAAGTCCATAACGTGTTTTGGTGACGTTGCAGTTGAACAAAGTCACCGGGAAGCTGTGTCAGACTTTTCGTGCCCTGAGCTCAGGTGTCGATGAGCCCGACACCCAAAAGCCCTGTCCCCTTGGATGGCTTTATGGTGGGGTCTTAGTAGCCCGGATCCAGCTCAGGACTCTCTTGTTTGCTCTTGACAGAGTCTAGCCTCGCTCAGGCTGCAGGACTGTGCGCTCTGATGCTGTGGCCACTAGCGCACACAGCTTTTTCGGTTTAAAGCGGTAAGAGAATTCCTTTGCTAAGCTGCAGTGGCTACATTTCTTGTGCTCCGTAGCCACATGTGGCTAGTTGACTAGTCACTGCTTTTTTGGGAGAGCACAGCTAATAGGGCATTTCCGTCCTCACAGAGAGCTCTAGTGCACAGTATGCTGTGGGGTTTTCTTCCCTCCTCTAGCTCTTCTCCTTTTATCCTGTTGACATAGGTGGCAAGATCACATGCGTCTGTTTCTCCCAGGGCATACTGCTGTGCAGAAGGCTCTTAAACCACAGGGTTTAGGGTTTGTAAAGTGACATAAATCATGCTTCATTCTCTGAGGTTGACTTTTGTATCGTGACTCTTCTTCTGTGATGACTCTTAGTATTAGGAAGATAGGCTTCATTCGAAATCTGCTTAATGACATAATAAATGCCTTGAATTACGATTCAAAAACAATTTTAGATCTGAAACAAAATTTAAAATATTTCATCTTTCTTAAATTACATAAACTGCTAATTCCTAGATAGGCTTGCACAGGAATGAACCTGATGTGTCGAAAACGTTCTGTATTGGTGGCTAATGAGAAGTTCGCACCTGCCCATATTTCTATAGAGACACTCCTTTAGGTGTATTTTGCAGCTTGTGAGAAAAGTGAGGTGAATATATTTAGCTCCCTCTTCTGGTGTATTACGAGATGAATATTTTTACTTAAAATGGCTTTATGGATTTTTGGAGTGAGACTACAGTTATAAATGTGAAGCTGAAGGCCATTATTTGTGTCATCCAATTAGTTTCTTCTTGTATCATTGCAATTGGTAAAACACGGAGAGAAAGCATGGAAAAACCATTGTGAAAGCGTCACATTTCTTAAGATATTAATTGACCAAATACGTGTCAGCAAACAAAGGCTTGGGTGGCAGGTACACAGGGACTTAATGTGAACATCAGGGGGCCGGTGATCATTTGCAAGTGCCCTGTGTCTAAATATCTTAAAGTTATAAATCATATTCATGACCTATTGAGTCAAATCTGTCCCATTCTCCTTCCTGCACAGTTATTCCTTCATAATGAATTGAATTTAGGTTTCTTGGGTTCCAGGTTCTGCCCCAGAGTGTGGTGGTGTTGGGCGGGGGCCCGGGGGAATGGACTACCACCCCGCCCCCCCTCCCAGCCCAAGCCAGGTGCCTCAGGCCCAGGGGCAACTCCCAAGGGAGTTTCTGCCCTGGGGAGGATGGACCTGGGTTAGAGGCCCTGAGAGGCCAGTTGGGCAGGGAATTCCTGGGTTCTAGCTAGGTACTCGGGAGTGTGTCCTAGGGAAGAAGCAGGCCTGTCCGCTGGGCCCCCAAACCTTAAGGTACAGAAAGAGGCCCGGCTGCAAGAGGGCTCGAGAGAGAAGCCTTCTTAAGTGCAGGGCCCAGCACCGGGCTCGGTCTTGCTCAGGCCTGAGTTTGCCAGTGTCAGAACTACATTGTTTTGTATTTAAATTCTCTTCCTTGCCGTCTCATGCATTTGATTACCCCAATTAAGTATAATCGCAGGATTTTGTTTATTTGCAGCTTTGGCTCTTCCAGATCTCGCTGAGCAGTTTGCCCCTCCCGACATTGCTCCGCCTCTTCTCGTGAAGCTCCTGGAAGCCATTGAAAAGAAAGGTAATCAGCTGGTAGAGGGGCTCTCTTACCTTGTTATATTCTTATTTCATGGGTGTTGTGATTTACATTTGTCTGTTGGGCATTCATTAAATACATTTCTCGCTCCTTGTGCTAGACACATGAGCTCTTTGTTGCCGTGCAGTGGGGAAATAATCTTGGTCTGATTCCTAACCCCATGTTACCATGTACTTACTGTATGGAAACTATTAAATTCTCCATAATTTAATAAATATAATTAACTTGCTCTTTAGGGGCCAGATGACTTTGCCAAAGTTATTGACGTGCCAGCTAAGATTAATAAGTAGGAATTCACTTCCAAGAATATTTGGTACACATCTAGAATAGATATGGGATGGAAGCTGGAATGTCTTTCTGGCAGCAGGCTCGTAGGTTCTCCAGAGAGCTGTGTTTTGCATGCTCAGTCTGTTTTGTGTCTTAGGTCTGGAATGTTCAACTCTATACAGAACACAGAGCTCCAGCAACCCGGCCGAATTGCGACAGCTTCTTGATTGTGGTGAGTGTCATGGAACTGGAAAGACAGATGGGAAGCATGGCTCTTACCTTTCGGTCTCAGGTAAAGCACCAAAAACTGGAACGTAACCGTGCAGTGTTCTAAGTTTGAAGGAAGTTCAGAAATCACACCCAGTTCCTTCTGCCCTATTAAGGTAACAGTGCAAACCAGCCCGGACCTTTGATGTTTGTCTCCTGAGTTGGGGTGTGTGTGCGTGCCTGCCTGCCTGCAGGCATGTGGTCTGACCTCATGGCAAAGAGCCTCTGGGTCCTGCAGGAGTTGCTGAGGAGAGGAACACCCCCTTGGGATTTCTCTGGCTCTGCATGTCGACCGTCTTTCTCTGACTGTGCCGTTGGCTACAGCTGATTCATCTGGATCAGCTTTAAAAATATTTATAAGTCTATGTCATTTAACAGAGGTCTCTTCTGACCCTTTCCATTTTCCTCTCCTTTTTTTTTTAAAGATTTTATTTATTTATTTGACAGACAGAGATCATAAGTAGGTAGAGCAGCAGGCAGGGAGAGAGGGGGAAGCAGGCTCCCCGCTGAGCAGAGAGCCCAATGTGGGGCTTGACCCGAGCCGAAGGCAGAGGCTTAACCCACTGAGCCACCCAGGCGCCCCCTCTCCTTTTTTTTACTGTCTCAGTCTTCCTTCCTTTCATGCTTCTTTGCTTTCTCATGCCATGTTTATATTAAGTAACGCCATGATGCTGTTCTATTCAGTGCTGTGCTGAACTCTCAGGGAGGTAGGGGAAGCCTGGTTCATAGCATTTGCCCATTTCCATGGTGTAACTAGGCCCACTGTGGTCAGTTTCAGGCTGCCAGCGTGTTATCACCAAACTCCCAACTTGGAAAGAATTGAGCACAGGGTGGCCCTTAGAGCAGGCCAGCTACAGTGCACCATTGGTTAAATGACATCAACTATTTCAACTTAGTGGTGTCTTCATTATTGGTTCCTCTCTTCTTTGCCAAATAGGATAAAACTACAAACGTGAATAAATTTACTGGCCATCATTCTGGCCAGTCATCTTCTGTAGCAACTTGTAGAATCTCTCAGATTCTTCATTGCCTCTCAGAATTTTTCTTTTGGAAAAATATTTCTCTGCTTCACATTCTTATAATTGAATTTGGACTTCTGAAACCAAGAGAAGGAAACCTCATTCGGGAAGAAGCTCTTTTAAACAAGGTACTTGTTCAAAGAATGTAGTAAGTGAAAATGTGAAGTCGAGGCAGCTCATGACAATTTCTAGAAAAGATGTTTCTGGGAAAAAAAGATTCTATCTCTATCAGTAAATAGTTTCACCTGAAATGCACCACCCAAATGTTTGAAGTTTGAAAAAAAAACTTTCATTTTTATTTTGTGCATGGAAGCCAGCCTCTCACATGTGCAGGGCATGGGCCCTGGCGGCTGGTCTCCTGCATTCCCCCTAGAGCAGGTCAGGAGGAGCTGATTGGCAGAAAACTCAAGGTGAAACACATGTCCTTTCTTTCTCACAGCCTGACCAGAGTGGTAAGGAGACTGAATTTTGTCCTTAGCCAGTTGAACTTGAGATACATGTTTTGGTCAGAAAATTGGTCAGACTGAACAACAGTCACAGGAAATGTTTAGACATCAGAGACTGATGAGATGGGAGTTATTTGAGAAAATGTGGTTAAGCTTTTAAATGTGACTGAATACAAATGATGCACTTTAGCTTTAGAAAAAAACCTTCACATCACCTTTGAGATGGAATAAGTAACCAAAAATCACGTCAGCAATGTATTTTGATAGACAGCTTTTCCTCACCACTTGAGGTCAAAACCCATACGTAAAAAAATGGTTTCTTGTGGATTCTGTGTCATAAAAGTGAATTTTGTGAGCAGAATAAGATAGATTTAGGAGTGGGTCCTCTAGGACTCTAATAGCTTAAGGATTTTTCAGTACATAAAAATACTGTAATACCTTGGAGGAAGCTCAGGGATAAGCCACTTACACTTTAAAAAAAGAGAGAGAAAAGAGAATTCATGGCTTTTAACCAAGCTTGTGAATTACCAGTGTCTGAACAGGGTGGATGCAGAGGACAGCATCCCACTTTTATTAGCACCCTCCTAAGTTATTTTGTTCATCTCCATATTACCCGTGTGATAGCAGTATTCCTCACCGCTGATGGCATAGCTGGGATTTGCACCCAAATTAGTCTCACTCCAAAAGCCCTTACTCTTTTTTTTCTGCTGTATTGACCTAGAGTGAATTATATCTTTGTTGTTCTCATTTGATTTTTCTCCTGATTTTTTGTTTGTTTGTTTCTCCTGACCTGAAGCAGGCCTTCTCTTTAAAAGTTCTCATTACAGGAAAGAGAAATTCTGTAACTATGGTGATAGATGTTAACTGGACTGATTGTGGTGATCATCAGTAACATATATAAATATCAAATCCTGTTACTATAATGATAGAGTTATATGTGAGTTATACCTCACTTTAAAAAATGAGGCTTTTAGGGGCACCTGGGTGGCTCAGTGGGTTAAAGCCTCTGCCTTCAGCTCAGTTCATGATCCCGGGGTCCTGGGATTGAGCCCCGCATCAGGCTCTCTGCTCAGCGGGGAGCCTGCTTCTCCTCTCTCTCTGCCTGCCTCTCTGCCTCCTTGTGATCTCTGTCTGTCAAATAAATAAATAAATATTTTTTTAAAAATGAGGCTTTTAGCAGCCTCAGCACACCTGCCCTTTACTCACTAGATGCCAATAACATGGTCCCTGAATTTTAACAATCAAAAATTGTCCAGACATTGCCACATGTCTCCTGGGAGTCGGGGTTGGGGTCGGGGTGGGGCAATAAAATGGAAACCCCTAACTGAGAACTGCTGGTTTAGGTAGAGGTGAACCGGGGAGGGGACTCCATCCCTTTGGGAGGAGGGGTGACATGCTGGCAAGCTTACTAGTTGACCTGTCTTGAGCAGACTCCATGCAAAGCTGGGGTTTAGAGGGTATGAGCTCCCCCATTCTAGACCTAAAGTTTATTTCGTATTGCCTAGCTATCCTCAGAAGTTATCACATGACAGATTTCCACAGCTCTTAGAAGAGCTCATTAGGATAGTTTGAATGAAGAAAAGGAGACTTACAGAACAAAATTCAGGAACTCTAAGGAGCTTTAGAAGCTACATTAAAAAAATAATATACTATGTCATCAGCACTAGAGGATTTGATAAAGTGAGCTTATCCAAAGGCTAATCCCGAGACTCGAAATGAGATGATTTTGTTCAAAGGCTTAAGGCTCTTGGGAACATACCTCTTGTGTTAGAGAAGGGCTTGGGTGAATTAACATTACCCTGAGGACCTGCTGTGGCTCAGTCCACAAACGTTTAGCAAGCACATCCTACGTGTTGGGCACGGTGAGGAGCAGGAAGAGCAGGGAAAAGCCATAGCTCGTGCCCTTGAGGTACTCTCAGTGTAGTAGAGAGACACCGGATTACCGCACTGTCTGGGAAGTGTCATGATAGAGACGGGGATCGTCAGCACTGCTGAGAAGGTAGTAGAAACCCTGCCTGAGGGAGGGGCCTGTGAAGTAGTGAGCATATTAATGTGTGTTTGTTGTGGTTGTTTTTTACCATCACTGAACAGTTTGTCCTATTCTGACAATACACAAATTAGGTAATAGTAATTCCCCCCCCCCCACCCGCCCCCGGCAAAGAGATCTCGTAAATGAAGCATACAGGGCGTGAAGGGCCCAGGCCCAGCAGCTTGTCAGGCGGTCAGTGGCTATGGAGTGCTCGAGCTGTGCACACAGTTTTGGCTGACAGGCACACTGGTGGTTGCAATTACTTCTCACATAGGCCCTTTGTGCCCAGACCCAGTACTGCCTCCTCCAGCCTTATTGGGGATGCGATGTGTGCCATTCGTTCTGTGGGGTACAACTCTGTGCCCCTCCACTCTCTGAGTTTAAGAATTCTCCTCTTTCAGCTCACCTCTGCGCATTCTCTACCAGATGCACTTCCCTGAGCTTTATTGGTGTGTGGGATTGTTTTGTACAGTCTGCCTTGTCAGCGGGCCAGGTTTGGTGTATGATAACGATGTGTCCCACGAACTTCTGTGGCTTCACATTGAACCCAGAGTAATACCTAGTATCACACTCACTTTGTGGCCATCCAGGATGCCACCTTTTCCTCCTCCAGCTCCCACACCTCGGAGGACTCCAGGCCTCCACATGATCCAGTCAGTCGCCAGGTTGTGTCAGTTCTTGACAATGTCTCCCACATCTCCCGCATTATAATTCAAATTACGAGACGTGTTCCCTTCACTTCCAGCAACTTTCTGTTCCAGCTGATTTTTAACACTAAAAAGAATAAAGCTGCTGAAAAATGTAGCATTTCATTCGTCAGCTCACTTCTCTGCTAAGTACCCAAATCTGCAGATAATCTTCAGGTTGGCCTTCACGTCTCTGGAGTGCATCCTTCAGCAGCAGCTGGATGCTTCTTCTCTTGCAGAGATGCCCATGGCCCTTCCTGCCCAGGCATCCCCTCTCTCTGCTGGACACTGTGCCTTTTTGTACCCCAAGTGAGTTAGTTCGTTAGCATCACCCCATTATTGAATTGCCTGACCTCTTTTCTGGGTGAAGGATTTACTGGACAGATGTGTTCATCTTTCTTAGGAGCTAGTTCAGTCCCCACAGGTTAGATTAGTTATATCCTAATTCGAGTACCCTGTCAAAATTAGGGAGAAAATGTTAAAAATATTCTTATGGCTATTTTTGAGATTGTTAAAATTCTGTGTATCTTACTGTTTGTTCAGTCACTCTGTTGAGCTAAATTTGTATGACTTCTGTGATGCAGTATTTAGCAACTCAAAATTTAGGCAATCTCTGGATTTGCATTTCATGTTTTCCTGTTGAGGTTTTAGGAAGCATTTACTAAATGATTAGCCATCCCTAGACAGAGCTCTTCTCAGAGCAGAAACACCCTCCAGAAGGTATTTGGAAATATTCTGGGGGCTCCTTTAGTGTGCTAGGGCTGACATAAACAAAACTCCACAGACTGGTTGGCTTCACACTCAAACCTATTTTCCCCCTGTTCTTGAGAGTAGAAGCCCCAGGTGCAGGCAGGTTTGGTTTCCTGTGAGGCCTCTCTCCTTGGCTTACTGATGGCCATCTTCTCACCGTGTCCTCACGAGGCATTCCCTCCGTGCTTCTGCTCCTGGTGTCTCTTTGTGTGTCCACATCTCCTCTTCTTAAAAGGATACCAGCCAAGTTGGATCAGGGCCTAGCCCCAATGGCCTCATTTTAGCTAAACTTCTTAAAGGCTCTGTCTCCAAGGCCCTGTCTCCAAGTATATATTCACCTTCGGAGACAGTGGGAGTTAGGGCTTCAACCTGTGACTTGTGGGGAACCTGATTCAGCTCAAAACAGGGACGTGATTTTCTTACTGTTGTTGCCCCACCATCTGGGAACATGCCTGTGGCATAGGCAGAAGACGTCATGCGAAATGCTTACCACTTAGGGGACAGACTTCCACAAAGGAAAAGTGGTCTATTTGCAATGCCAGGAACAACCTCTGTGAGAAACACTGCTCATAAATACTCAAGAATTTTATAATTGTCCTCCTGTTGCTTCCTTTTTTGTGTCATGTTTATGTCAAACATTCAGAAAAATGGGCCCAACCAATATATACAGTGTCTGAAATCTTTTTAAAAATGTTTCTGTCACAGATGCCGCCTCCATGGACTTGGAAATGATCGATGTGCAAGTTTTGGGAGATGCTTTCAAACGCTATCTTATGGACTTACCGAATCCTGTCATTCCAGTAGCCGTTTACAATGAAATGATTTATTTAGCCCAAGGTTTGTTTTCTGTTCTGAAAACCTCAATGAGCATGTATTGAGATGTGCAGATGTATGTAAACTCTATTAAATGCAGCATATAAATAATAAATAAGTCACATATTCAGAAAAATGGACCCAACCAATATACACAGTGTCTGAAATCCTTTTTAAAATGTTTCTGTGACAGATATAAAGAGCGATGTTTGAGAAAACATTAGTAGGAATCTGCCCTCTCCCCGACCCCCTCCCTCCCCATTAGCACCAATTCCCTCCCTTACCAGGGCATCCAATAGAAGACCCAGATTCTCATTTGCTTAGGAAGATTCTCTACATGTTGAAATGGCTAATTGTTAACCTTTTATCAGCATTAACAAAGTTCACTATGTCAGGGAAGGCCGCAGCGCTCCAAGTGCCATCTTAGGATTCGGGGAACCTGGGACCGGGACCCACTGACTGGGGATGTTCTTACCATTTTCAAGTGGCCATTACAGAATGTGCTGAGGGACGAGGACTCTCATGCTGAGGAGCTAATGCTCAGTTAAAGTGCTTTGGGGACAGGAAATTGTGGTTCGTAACCTTCAAAGTCAAAACGTGTGATACTTATCTGATGCTCCTCTAAATCAGCCAATCACACTGGAAGCTGCTCAGTAGAGGGTGGATCTCTGCCAGCACAGCCTGATCCTCTGGTGGCTTTTTACACCAAGAGTTTCTTGCATTTCCATCTGACTTGAGAGCTCTACTTTCTCACAATGCCTTTTCTGACAAGAAGAACAAGTGTCCTGTTTCTGATGACTTCTTTTAAAGGGACTCGTTCTTCTTTAGCTAGAACAGAAACGTTCTAGATGTTTAGTCACTGATATCTAGAAACAATCTTGTTTTGTTTTGTTTTTTAAACTCTGTAGAAGTACAAAGCTCTGAGGACTACATCCAGCTGTTGAAGAAGCTCATTAGGGCACCTAACATACCTCATCAGTATTGGCTGACGCTTCAGTATTTGCTAAAACATTTCTTCAAGCTCTGTCAGACCTCCAGCAAGAATCTCCTGAGTGCGAGAGTGCTCTCTGAACTTTTCAGCCCTCTGCTTTTCAGATTCCCAGCAGCCAGGTAAGGTGAAAGGAGGAGAAGCGTGTATTTTTGGGTGGTAGGGGAAGTCCTGAGCTGATGGATCATTCAACTTATTCCGAAGGTGCTCTCTCGCAGATGCACGCGCACCTTCCTACCAGACACAGTGACTTGAATGTGTATAAATGAACATGAGTTTGCTGTTTTGAAAACAAGTTTCTAATAAAACTCTCTTTTTTTGTAGCTCTGAGAATACTGAACACCTCATTAAAGTTATAGAAATTTTAATATCAACGGAGTGGAATGAGCGACAGCCTGCACCAGGTAAGGCTTTTTGAACTTTTAAAATTCTGTCCTGGTTTGTTTTTTAGAATGGTGGCTTTAGACCTTCTCTGAAGGAACGTACGTTTCTGGTAGAATTGCGATCCATAACGTGTCACCTTGCGATTTACAGAAAGAATGGCTGAGTGGTAGTGTATGCGGAAATTTTACCTGGATTTCAGTATCTGGATTTTTCAGTGTCTGTGGATTTCAGTATCTGTGGATGGTCTTGGTTTTAGACGTGGGCTGTGGGGAGCTCTCTCCCGTCCCCTCAACTTTGATGCTTCCAGTTGTTGCCTAAATTACGGAGCTCATTTTAGTTGTTGACATTCTTGTTTTTCTTTCTAATACTTATAAAGTAGGGGATTTATAATTACTATATAATTTGCAATATTTTGGAATGTGTGTTTTGGAAGGAGGTCTGCTGAGAAATGTCTGTCCAAATAAACATTTTCAAGAATGCAAGCAGTGTGAAACCAGGGTGTTCACCGGAGCAAGTTAGAGCAGGCCAGACACTTCTTTGAAAGCAGGCTGGCATTCGGTTAGCCATTTAACAAAGCAGGAAATGTAGACCACGTTAGCAGTGGATTTAATTTAAACTGACGTATTTTTCTTCTACTGTGGAAAGTCTAAACACTTTGCCTGTATGCTTGTTAAAACTTAGCTAACAGAAGCTGGTCATTGGGAATAGCAGGGTCCAGTCAGTGAAGTGAGGTTTCAGGACCGGTGGAGATGTTGCCTGTAGTCTTAATTTATGCCTAGAATTAAAATAAAACATCATAAATAAGATGTTAAGATAATAATTCTTTATTATCGGTAACTCGTGCAGACTGCCCAGTTTATCTCTGTACTAACAGGCATGGGGTCCCCCTGCGTTGAGCAGTGGGGAATTAGGTTGGGTTTCGTAGGTGTTACCCAGCGAGGCTCGGTGGGGTGTGGATTGCGCGACCAGACAGGTAACCACTCACAGTGCGCATATTTGGAAGGGCTCCTGTGGACAGGACCAGGATACGGCATCCACAGGTAGGAGGGGCAGCAGAAGCAGTACATAAGGCACGAGTGGTTATGGTCCAAACGTTGCAGGTCACAGCAAGCAGGATGTTCAGCAGAGATGCTCCGAATTGTAGGTGAATGGCATCAGAGAAGTCTGTCAGTAGTGGCTGAGGACTTTAGTCCAGGGGGCGTCCCAAAGGTTTCATGTCCTGTGACTGCTTGGCGCATTTGTTAATGGATTTGGGAACTCTGTGTTGGTGTTCACAGGCTGCCTTTGGGCTCAACAGAAAAGATTCAATGGTAGATTAAAAGTACCCTGTGATAAGGGGACAGGCGGCAGGTGTGAAACATGACACTTTAGTCCTTTATTGACTGCTCCCCCCCACACCCCACCCCAGACTAAATACAAGAGTGGAGAAAGAAGTGTAGTAAAAACAAAAGAGTAGTAGTAGTACTACTTTTTGTAGTAGTAGTAGTAGTAGTAGTAGTAGTACTTTTTTGAGTACTACTAGTACTAGTACTATAGTAGTACAACTGCACTACTTCTTTTGAGTACAAAAGAAGAGTAGCAACAACAAAATGGGCCCCCGGGCCAAAGGGCGGAGCCCTGCCTCCCACTTTCTGGTGGCCAGTGTGGAGGTCTGTCTCAGACTAGGGACAGCTGAGCCCCGCATGCAGTCAAGGGCTGAGGGTGGTCCCTGTCTTCTCAGCGCCCACCCCTCTGGAGACAGGTTGACATGGAAGCTTAAAAGCCAGACAGGGTTTGATAGATAACCCACCAATGAATTTATCATGAAATCTTTGAGAATTTCTGCTACACACCAAGGAGAATCAGATGGAGTTTAATTAGTCTGACTGGTATAAACCGGTTAAATGTCCTTACAAGTTTGAGCCTAATTCCATCCAAAAACAAAACAAAAAGTTCACGTACATCCGTTTTCACTGAGTGCACCTAAGACTGCCTGCCAGGCATGGACCCCACTGCTTTCCTCTACTAAGAAACTGGTGTCAGAGGCAGGTTAGTCGTGCCAGCCGTGCTGAATGGTGAGCAATGCACTGAACATTCCCTAGACTTGCCCGAGATTCATGCAGCCTCTTCAAGAAAATTGTATCTGGGTCATCTCTGAATGCTAGTTTGAGCCATTCTTCCCTTTGTTTGGTATCTCTTAGCTATTCTGAAGAAAGTTCAGGCCCTTGGGAATAAAATAAATGCTTCAGTATGTCTGCCTTGTGGAAACGTACTGACCACCTCAGGAAGAACGTCCTCATGCCGAAGCCCTTCGTATTCAGGAATGGCTTCGTGCCGATGACTGGCGGGGCACTCTTGGTTAGAGAAATGATTTCTTAGGCCTGGTAGGAATCTGACATTTTCCTCGACTCCTTCATCATTGCCCCAGCCGTGCTGTCACCACAGGGCTCTGAAAGCACAGCACTGGGGTATCTCCAGTGAACAGTCATAAATCATTCATTTGCAATGACTTTATTCTTGTGATTAGAAGGAGTACTTGAATAATTGGGGGGCCGTTGCTGGGGAGACAGGGAAGCAAGGCTATTATGGGATAGATAGACCTCTTTTACAGTTTTTATCTGGTAGAACTTGAACTGCTAGGCAAAAATGATGTTAGAGGCAATGTGTCAATTCGTAGAAGACCATTAGCACAGAGTATCTAATTAAGTACTGGGGGAGGGTGCTTACTCTAAATATGAAAAGAATTGTAGATGTGATGGGTGACTTTGTAGGGCAATTAAGTAGACAGAAAAGGCTTAGAGAAAAAAATGGTACTTGAATGGGCTTTGAAGAATTGGTAGTTTGAAAAGGGGAAGAGGAAACAGTATTTCAATTCAAGGAGTTTCAAAGGTTTATTCAAAATAAATTGCAAAATACAAAATGAATGGCCTAATACAAAAAGGTAGTAAATGTTTTAAATGACAATATTGTAAAAAGCATCATTTTAGAGTTGAAAGCATTGCTCAGCTCTAACTTTGCTCATAAGGAGACAGAAGCGCCCCCCCGGAGGTTGCACGGTCACGTGGTGCTAACCAGTGTGTGCCAGAACCAGGTCACCCCAGGGAGGCCCCGTGCGGAAGGGACCCAGTCCCGGACTCCTGCCAGGGTCTCAGCACTGCACCTGCTTCCTGGGTTTGGGGAAGCTTCATGAGGAATGGGGCTGCTTTTAGTGTCCAGTCTGAAGTCCTCTGAGGTTTGCAGTAAAGAGCCCCAGTGTGATTTCCATAGCTGTGGTGGATAAAACTCAGTCACTCCATCCATTGTGTGCTGGTAGGAGGAGAGAGTCTCAAATGGATCTGGATTTGAATCAGCTCTTGGCTGCTTATTTGCCAAGGTCATATCAAATAACTCAACCTTTCTACACTGTTCCCTAGTCTGTGAAATGGGAACAATGCCTCTCCTGGGGTGGTTAAGATTTCAGTGAGGTGATAAGTACTGAAACTCATGACCCATTGCTCAACTCTGGATTTTTAAGGACCTACCAGAGGGGGCCCCCTTCTGCAGCTCCAACTCCTCAGGCCTCGAGGGGCCTGCATGGGCTTCACGGCTAATCTGCAAAACACACACTCACTGGGTAGTTGCTGCCCGGTGGGTGCATTGCTTGGAGGGAGGAACGTTCCTTACTTGGTCTCACGCCCCTTCCCGTGTGTGTGGCTTGGTGAGTGGAGGGCCTGGTTTTCAGTAGCACCTTCTCCTGCCATGTGCCTCTCTGCAGTGCACAGAACACACGACTGTACAGAGCAGTCCCCACCAGTGCCATCTACTTCACTTCACAGGAAATGCTGGATGTGCAGTGATCAACCCATTCCATAGGCTTATGCCCTGTAGTTCTGCCTGTTCTTTCCCTTTGCTCAGCTCCATTCCTCAAGGACAAAGGCTGCTTCTCCTGTTGAGCTCCTCCTAGCATAGAGCTAAGCAAAGGATAATAATCATCCACATGAATTTTCAAAAGTTCCTTGACAGACTAAGCAACTTTCAAAGAACTTTGGCATACCCACTCATTTAGTGCATGCAGCGAACCTGTGAAGCAGGCGTCTCCTGCATTTGGAGGGAAACTAAGGTTTGAAAGGTTAAACATAGAGTCACTGAGTCCTCAGCGTTTGGATAGTCTACTGTCCCCTTTGTTTCTAAAAGTCTTGAAAATACCTAAAGCTGAACAGCAGGTTTTCATGACTCATTATGTGCTATGTTTACCCTATTGATACTTGGGTAGCTAAAGCAGATTTCTGTAGGGCCACTAAGGGACAAACAGGACCATTTAACACAGGGTAGCTCTGAATGAAACCCATTATAAGTGTATTTACATATTTCAGATTTCATGGGTATATCCAGAAATATTAATGCAGCATAATTGAAGTCTAATATTGCACCCTCAAGCCCAGAGTGGAAAATAAATGACTCTTTCTCCCTCCTGCCCTTCTACACCTGTCAGAGTTAATGTTTAACCACTGGAGCATTGCAAAACATTCCTCCTGAAGAGCCTGATTCATAAATCTTGTTTTAAATGCTCTGGGCTTGGTTTTTTAACCAAGACGAAAGCAAGCACTAAGGTAGAGGGAAAGGACTTTCAAAGAGTTTTACTTTTCTCTGATTTATTTTTTATTGGGTTTAAAATGTGGTCTGACATTAGAGGGTTGTTTCAAAGATGAGAAATGAAACCTTGAAAAAAAAATGCATATATTTAGATGGGTCAGAATAAACAGAGAGGCAAGCCATACTAGGTTATAACGAAAAATAGGAAGTTTTATTTGTGCTCTGAAAAAGCAGCATATTTCAGGGGGCATATATTGGTGGGGTAGTCACTGTGCAGACTCCTCTCCAGGGACAGCATTTGAGAGGGAAGCAGTGCCGCCTTCTGCTAAGCAACTGTCACACCTTTTCATGCATTTTGTAGAATGTGTCCTGTGTCAATCTGGGTTTATTTATAAATTCAAATGGACATTTTCCTTAGTGCGGAGTAAGAGCACTGGATATGGAGTAAAGAATTTGCATCATACTGAAA